TGACGCAAATACTAAGGCAGCATCAGTGACAGCCGGCATTGCGGACAAGGCTCCGTTGCTTATCTGATCCCAGGGGGCCCAGGTTGTGGGGAGGTTTGTGCAAAGAGCGATGATCAGCTGTTGTGATACCTGTGCCACACTCTTAATCGTTGCAGCATTCGGAATGAGAGCACAAGGTTATGTTGCATTTGCAACTAAGTGCGTTTAGTCGGACGCCTGTATACAGGCTGAGTGCGGTAAATTTCAACATTTTACCGCTGAAATGCGATGCACGGTGTCTTCATTAATGTACAGTACAGCGCTGGTTGCTGTATATAAGGTGCCAGGTCAGGTTAAGGCCTGTTGAGCCTGTGTCAGCTTGTCTGATACAGGGTACTAAACGTTTATGGAGGGGGGCTTTCTCATATTTAGCCAGTCACTACACTTGCTCTTTACAAATCACTTCAGTCCTCACAAGCCTTTGAAATATATATAAGGTATCGCCTTGTCAACACCGAAAACAGTCAGTGGAAGCTTGTTGTAGCGACCGCCTTAATATGTGATGTCGTTGTGCTGGCTTATAAAGTAGGGAAATGTGTGGTACAGAGGCAGGAGTTCTGTTGTGAGCTCTGTGGTGTGCAGGAGGCGCTGTTTGTTCCCTTGCTAGGGTTCGATCACTGTCAACCAGGAGCCTCCCATCCCTGAGACGGAACAGTTCTGCCTGGGGCATCAACAATTTCCACCAAGACGAAGGTCCGACACCCTGTCCTGGGGGTCTTTGTGGTTATCAGGCTTCCTTTGAAAATAGACTCAAGACCCACACAAGCCTCGTTGGAGGTGCATTTCTGGGCAGTGCTATGAAGTGACGTAGAAAATTCTGAGTTGCTGGGTTTCCGGTTTGAAACCAGTCAGACGCTTATTTTTCCTTCCATGCATTTGGAAAGGAATGATAGCCTCGTACAGCTGGACGCATAGAGAAAACAAAAGTTGACCAGCTCTTAGGACGGTGCAGGTCATTCTGAGCAGTTTGCAATGAACGGTTTTACAGTGCCTTGCGAACATCTTCCCTCTTCTCCAATCATTTCCCATTTTGTTTAATAACAACTGATTGTATACGTGTGCATTTAAGATATAAGAAAAAACGAACTTGAATGCTCAAGCTAAACATGTAATGTGAGCAAAAACTCCAAAGAAAGACTTAAATAGGTACGCTTGTTCATAATAAGGTATGCGTATTCCGTAGAAAATGCTCTTGAGTCAATATTTGCTGGTTGCTCCTTTAGTAGCAATTACAACTGTAAGTCCTTCTAAATAAGTATCTACCAATATTGTGCACCAGGATGGCATGGTTTTTGATAATTTTTCTTTGCAAATCCACTCAAGCGCTTGGTTGGGGATTGTTGATGAACTGCCACAGGTGGCCTTATCACGTTCATTTATCGGATTCTATAAGAGATCACTTTATCGGCCATTCTTGTATTAGGAATTTGTCTTTTCTCATACCCCAGCTTGCTCTCCATGAGACACGCAGATGGGGAGAGAGAAGCTTGGGGTCAGAGCGCAGGGTCAGCCATTTATACGGTGCCCCTGGAGCAGTTGGGGTTAAGGGCCTTGCTCAGGGGCCCAACAGAGTAGGATTCCTCTGCCTGCTGCAGGATTTGAACCAGCAACCTTCCAGCCATAGGCGCAGATCCTTCGCCACAGAGCCAGCGCTCCGCCCTAAAACTTCACCTTTCAGCAAGACAGTGATCCACAGCTCAAGGAATTTGAAAGGAATTAGAAATTCCTCTTTCAAGACAGGACTTTGACTGGGCCACTCAAGGACAGTCACTTCCTTCTTGTGAAGCCACTCCAGTGTCGCTTTACCCTTGTGCTGTGGATCACTGTCTTGCTGAAAGGTGAGATTTTGTTTTCCTTTAGGATTTGCCGGTGCTTTTGCTCCATCAATTTTCCCATCAGTCTTTATAAGCGTATATACATCATATATGCATCATTGTGCCGCCCCATCACAATGCGCTGAGCTCTCTAGCTCCTACCAAGGCGCCGTTGGAATTACAGCTGCGTTCCAAACCAGTTTCCTTCTTGCCTTCTGCTCAGTTTGGAGGGATAGCCTGACTCGGGCAGTATCTGGGAGCCATTCTTTCAGATTATATTTTTGCATCTCTCTGATTTTTGCTTTGAACGATTGAAGCAGGTCGTCTGTATAACCGATGTTAATTGTTACTTCAGAGTGTCCCGACTGCAAGCTTTAGAGCACTAAGTTGTGAAATCTCAGCAAGTGCCTAAATAGTTTTGCAAGGTCCTGCATAAAAAAAAGAATTTAGGCTGGTGTGTCATAGATGATCCAAGACCCATTTTATATTTGTATATTGTCTTTACCTTTTCCCACCAGGATTAGTTGTTAGGATTCCTTAGCAAGGCTACAGTGCTGTAAAGCTCTTCACACCCAGTGTCCTGGTGGATCAGGATTTAGCAAGTGAAGCTGTGGGGCACCAGAAGGAGTCTTTCCCTGTATTTCCTGCGTGTGGGGAATCGCACTCGGACCTTGATGAACCCAATTCACAGGGCATCTCCGGTGGCCAGAACATCAAATTAAATGGCATTTATAGTTTGGGTAGGGCAATTGCCACGTCTGCATACAGTAGGAACTTATTGTCTGTGCATGTGAGGAGGCTTTTTGCATAATCTAGGCCACTAGGAGTGTAGTTGCTGTTGATCTGAGGATCACTGACTGACCGACACAATGGGAGTTAGTTTCTTACAGTCTCCTATAAGACTCCTTTGCGTCTTATAAAATCCTAAGAACGTACTGTAAGTCATTTTACAAATGAGAGGAGACCGTTTGGTGTGTGTAGCTGGTGGGTAAAGAGGTGCTCTCTGTTCTCAGTTTTAAGTGCAGTTCAATTGCCCTCAGCTAATTGGTGGCTTCTAGTTTGTTTTTCAGTGCTGTTTGACTGGAAAACGGGTATCGAGACAGAATCCACAAAGTGCGTTTAGTTGATCTGCAACAGTGGTTTGCTTCGTCAGCCGTTTTTAGTCATTTTTTATTTGCAGTTCTTGGTGACGTTTAATTCGTTCCCCTCGTAAAAGTCTTCAGTGCGAAGATTCTTATTTTCATTAAAAATATTCACTTAAAAAAGTGCCTCATTTGTAGTTCCACAAAACGGGACGTTGTTGGAGGAGTGGTGAATGCTTTTGGAAGGCCGTGTATGTCTACATTTCATTTTATATGTCTATGCTGGTTTGCAGCCCTGATTAGAAAAATCCACAGAATGTCATTACGTCTTGCATATTGATCATAAATGTCCAGATGCACTTACATAGTTTAATGTACTGTATGTCATTAAAAAACCCTGATGCTGGGGGCGAAAGGAAGAAATTATTTCATCCATTAGTCCAGGGCAAATCCTTAAAATATTGCCTTCTCAATATCGCAAAAGATGAATGCACATCCTGTATGTTGGGGCACCATGCAGACTAGAATACAGTACGTAGCTGTTTCTCAAACCGTCGATCAGCAATACTGTAAATCTAGAGGAACACTGAACAAGCCCTAACGCTCTTGTACCAGCACTCGCTGTCTCTTTATGAAAGAAAAGCTGTTGTTCTTAAAAAAAAAACCGTACACATACAATCAGTCCAACACACTCCAGTCTTTACCCTGTCGCTGCCTGGTGCCGAAGGTTATCAAATCGAGCTGTGGGAAGTCGCGGCACAGTTGGAGACGCATCATTTCACTCATGATGGCTCCTGTGGTGAAACCGTAAGAGAAGGTTGCTTTGTGTAACGGAAGAGTAACGACAGCAGTGCCGCATGTTAAACAGAACAGTGCGGCTTGGAGATTTTCGGTTATTATTTTCGTGAGGGAATAGTTTAAAAATGTTTTAACAGCATCGTAAAGGTCCTCTGGAGCAGTGTGGAACAGCTATTCCCAACGTAGTGGACACGGGGCAGCAGTAATTCTTTTGTCACATCTCTCTGACCGCTGTTTTTTCTACAGAGGCACATTTAATATATCCTATCTCATGTTCCACGATGAACAGAAATGGCCTAAAAACTCTTATAAGGCTCATTTTTTTAAATTCTTGAATTAAAGGTTCGTTTCTTGTACTCTATTCCTACAGTACCTAATCTGAAATTGCTGTTTTTACAAGCGATGGCCACTTTACCCACACAGTGAGAATGTGAAAGGACAAACTGATTCCTCTGAGCAGCGCGCCCCTGAAACCATTCAGCAGCGTTTCTGCAGTGACATACAGTACAGTACAGGTGGTGATTGCAGGAGAGGCACGTCCCTCACTAATGTCATTGCAAGCTTGCTGACCCCTCGGAAATCGTTGCGCTGGCTGTTTCACGACCTCACCACACCCAGCCTCCAGCTGCACTGAGTGACGTTTTTGCCACCGTGACCCTCAGGCCTGTGAGATCAACCTGTGCTTAAAAGCAAGTGCCTTTAGCAGTTGAGCCCTTGTTTTCTGAGCAGTGTGACAAATAAGTTTCAGGTGTTTACACTGTGGCATGGTGCGAACGTCACGTCAACCTCAGGTGTCCTTCCGGCCTCGCTCTTGGTCTATGGGTGGCCTGTGGCCCTCAGACCACAGCTCAGCAGGCACCAATATGAGAGCTCAGAGCCTACTGGGACAATAGGTTCCCCTTCAGAAGGACCCTCCCTACATTGCCCGGAGTTTCTTACGTCCAAAATCATTTTCGTTCTCCAGTCTGCAAGCATCCATCCTAGTGCTAGGAGATCACAGCAGCTGACTGACTTCCAATGGAAACGACTAAACTAATCTGTGTAAATTCTCTGTGGACAGTCGCACTGAACCAGTGTGGTACTCTTTCTTACAAGAAGAGTATGGACAGGCAGGAGAGGTGGGACACGGGGATTCCATTTTTCCCTCTCAGGAAGTGTTGTATTTCTCTTTTTAAACTCACGCTCATGAGTGAACAACGCCTCTCTGTCTTACTTGGTGGGCCTTGTAATTTAAACATTGATTATTGTTTTTTTTCCTCTTTTCCAGGTACTGTTTTGTAGCTGCTCTGGGATACCTCAGCTTTTGTCAGATCACGCGGGTCTACGTCTTTGACTACGGCCTGTATTCTGCAGACTTTACTGGGTAAGGCCCTGTCCGCTGAGCAGGCTGCAGCAATCACTGTAGCATTTGGCTTGACATTACTGCAACTGATTACTGTGAAACAGGCTTACGTGTCCCTTCTTTGACATCCATTACTCTGGAAGTGTTAGCGTTGGATGACTTCTCACACATTCTGTTGAGTTTTGTAGGCCACATTTTATATTCATTTATTCTTCCAGGAATGGCATTTCTGAAGTCTGTAATTGTGAATGGGCTGGCTGTTCTTGCATGCAGCAGCCAAACAGTCTTACGATAAGGATACTGTACCCTAGTTTGATGAAAGGTTTAAAGCATTTGCTTCACAATCAGAATGGTGCATGATTTTGTACTTTTGTACTTTGTTTTTTTTCTTCCATTCTAGCAGAGTAAAGTAATGATTTACAGTCAGTATTGACTACATCCTGCAAAATACAAATTACTGTCTGGTAGCACATTGTTGGCTGGTTCTCTTTAACTTGTGGTGTATTTCATGCGGCCACTGGTTTTTGTGTGATAAATTAATACTGAATCTTTATTTTTCAGAGACTCTGGCTTTATCCTGAGTTTTTGTAAATCATAAAAAGTTTTTTATTTTCTCAAACGCAAATTGAAATTTGCAATGGCAGTAGTAAAATACTTAGAGTTGTTGTCTACAGTAAGTGTTAGGTTATGGTGACAACAAGAGTTTTGAAGGTGTTGGCTGACCTTAACTACCAAATAGTTAGCCCCAGGTAATCCAAAACATGTTAATCCTTATTTTCTTTGTTGTATCTAATTTAACTGTAAATGATAAGTATAATGATTCTGGGTCATTTTATTTGAATGATGTCAGGAATTATGTTGGAAATTTATGATGACTAAATTCACTGAAATATCTTATGTTCTTTGTTAAAAACATACCAGTGATATGCCAGTATGGTGATTTAACAATGATGTCAGTGGTAATTGTATACCATTCATATATTTTCCAAGGCAAAAGCGGAATAAATCTCACCAGTGGTTCTTGATTTGTTTTGATGGCTATGAATTACTAGGCCAGATGTGTTGCCCTGCTGTAGATGAAGATTTCTAAACAGTGATTAATCATGTCTATTACGATTTCTCTGGGTTGTTAATTGATTGAGAACGTATTATATATACATTTTCTTAAGGCTCTCAGATCATTTGTCTTTTGGGGCCGTGTTTTAAAACTGCTCCTTTGTCTAAATGACTGTGTTTTGCTTTGTGGCTGCTTTGTCACCGATCCTCAGGTTGCAGGGCTGTGTCTGCAGGCGTTTGATAAGGCTTCTCCTTTCCTCATGCCGAAAAAGACTCCACTCAGTGCCGATTGGGTCCTGTAGGTTTGAGGTTTCTGGTTCAAAGTGGGGTTATGCTAGCTGGCTGTGACTAAAGAATTAAGTGTGTAGTGGAGTCTGCGGAGTGATGTTTTGTATGTAATGAGTCACCCATGTCTCTCATATTAGTGTTTTTTAGTGTCTCTCTTATTGAGTGTTTTCAATGCGGGTTCTGTTCACAAGTAGTGGAACTGACACGGACAGAGGTGTAAAATAAAGCCAAATAGGTCTGCAGTACATATTTCCTCTGAAGACGTCTCCTTGATGTCGTGGGACATTTGAGAGGCTGGGTCGGATAACGGAAGCAAAGGTTTGGTTGAATGATCCGAGAGAGCTGTTTGTCGGTTACTGTTTTTAGTTATTTTGTCGCAACAACATTTGTTTTCTGCGACATGAAGGCCTTCAGCTCTGCAAAAGTGCGCATTTCTGTCCCCGTCACGTGGATCTCAAGAAATGTCAAGTAATTTGTATTTAAATTCCTTATTTAAGGACAAACAATCAGAGAATCAGACAGGGCGGAGTGGTGGCACTGTGGCTAAGGATCTGCACCTGTGGCTAGAAGGTTGCTGGTTCAAATCCCGTGGCCAGCAAAGGAATCCTCCTCCGTTGGGCCCCTGAGCAAGGCCGTTAACCCCAACTGCTCCAGGGGCGCTGTACAATGTCTGACCCTGCACTCTGACCCCAAGCTTCTCTCCCTGTCTGTGTGCCTCATGGAGAGCAAGCTGGGGTATGTGAAAAGATGGATTCTTAATGCAAGAAATTGTATATGGCTGATAAAGTGATCTTATCTTATCTTAAAAAATCACCTCGGAATATGTGCTTGTTTACAGTGTCAACCTGCAGAGCTCTCCTTTATACAGTAGGAAGTTTTTTGGAGCAATTTTGAATGATGTACCTTGCTCAGGGGTGAAAGAGCTGTGTCCCACATAAAGATTTGAGTGCATGGCCTTCCAGTTCAGTCCGGAGTCCAGATCCTTCTTCCATATTTAAGAAAGGGTCTTGCTAATCCATCATATTCGGCGCATGTCATAGTGTTGGATGAGAGGTCTAATGTAAAAAAGTCTAATGTATCATCAGACTAGCTGTAAGATTCAAAAACAGAATGTCCCAGGAATTGAATTTTTATATGGGGACAAATATGATACATAGATTCTTGTATTGAAACTATCAAACATGTGTTGTGAATCTAGTTATTACGAAATGCTGCATGGTCATGGACTGGAAGCCCCAGATCACATAAAAGAAAAAGTGAAGCAATGAACTACATTTTGTCTCGTTTTTAATTGGATCTCAGAGAATGCAGGCGCCCCCGGAGAAAAGACACGGGTAATGAAAAGGTTTTGGTGAAACAGAACAGCCCAATGAAAAGAAAAAAAGACACTGTGGTTTCAATAACCTTCTGCCACTTTAAATTTGAGTGGTATTCACGAAAGCCGAGAAAAACAAACCTTAGTGGTCTCGGAGGGGAGTTTACTCTCTGAAACACCGATGCCAAACTAAAGTGAGAGAGATAGTTCAGGTGGGTAGCTGCGTCAGCATGCGTAGGCTGCAAAGGAACAAGTAATAGGTTTATTCCATGCTGAAAAAAAGAAGAAAGAGAACACAACGTTTCGGCCGTGGAGCCTTCTTCAGGTGTGCAAAAAGTGAGTGAGTGAAAAGTGAGAGAGATGTCTGGGTTTCCTTTGTGCGGCATCATGCACAGTTCGTACTAGTTTAGTGCACAGTATGTATGGATGGATGGAATGATGTGCAGTAGAATAACTAATAGCCCACAATCAAACTCAAGGCCCTAAAACCGTGAGACTGCAGCACTAACTACCACAGTGTGTTGCCTCCCCCTTTCTCTCATTCACTGAGTGTCAAAACTTGGGTGCAACCTCATTCGTTTGTAGAGTCTGGGAGTGCTTCGTAAGCCAGTGCCCTTATCAGCCGGGGCAGTACGTTCCTTTTTTAGGGAATTTAAACATCCAGACTTGAAGTGCAGTCTGCAAACAGCAGGAGACCCCCAGTCAGTGTTACCTTTCGAAAAAATCTATGAAAGCACTCCTGACCACCCCTGACCCCTGACTAACTTGACAAGCCCAAAAGTCTTCAATGGGAAGGTATAATTTTACTATTAGCCTGTATCATTTTGCTGTCTTGACCGGTCTACTTTTTTGGCCATGGTAACTTGGTGGGAGTTAGTTTCACAAACTTTTTATATTGATTTCTTATGAAGTCCATGCTGATGGTGCTGTAAGCATTTTTTTTTCAAATGGCGACCCCCTGTGAAAGCTCGGCGTGGGTGGAGAAAGGCCTGGTGCGCATTGATAATCCTGCAAAACAGACACGGACATCTGATGCCGGAGACTCTGTTGGTTGCTAGGTTACAGAATGCTACTGAAGTGTCTGCTACCCAGAAGCAGCATATTTCTCCTTTTTATCTGGATTTTTTTTTCTCATTTTGCAGTCTTTGGAATTGAGTCTGTGGTGAAATTTCACTGGAGAACTGCAATATTTGCGTTATCAGATACACGATGGCAAAATGTGGATCAGGTTTGATTTAGACATAAGGGAAGGCATGGAAAGATCCCAGTTGGTCCTAGCCAGCAGTCAGGATTGTGTACATACAATCAATAATAATTCCTTAAACTTATACTGTATAGCACTTTTCTGGACACTCCACCAAAAAGCTTTGGTGCTTTGGGGACTCCCTTCTGGAAGATGCGAACTAGTTCATAGATGGGGATTATTAAGAGGCCATGATTGGTAAGGGCCAATGGGAAATTTGACCAGGATCACCGGGGTAACACCCCTACTCTTTTTAAGCAATCCTCTGGGATTTTTAATGACCACAGAGAGTCAGGACCTTTGTTTTACATCTCATCCAAAGGATGGCGCCTTTTTACAGTGTAGTGTCCCTGTCACTGTACTGGGGCATTAGGACCCACACAGACCACAGGGTGAGCGCCTCCTACTGGCCACGCTAACACCTCTTTCAGCAGCAACCT